TCTGGCCCTCAGGGGAGCTCCCCCTTGCACGTGCTCACCACAGATTGGAACATGACTCTCTGTGTGCATAAATACCCTTGACCCTTCAATAAGGCAGGACTAGGGGCAGGAGCAGGAACAGGGGCGCCAACTGCCCATGCTGTCAAAAATCCACGGGTAACTTCGGCCAGCCCTCCACATGTGCAGATTCCCAACCACAGCCTGAAAATACAGTTGACCTTCAAACAACGTCGGGGCAAACTGCGTGGGTCCATTTATACGCGGGTTTTTTAATCCGTGTATCACTGGATATGTGCAGTTCAAACCCACATAGTTCAAGGCTCAACTTTGTATATTCCATATTGACTGCCTTGAATAATATTGCCTTTGCTTCCGGTGAGCTCAGCAATGAGAATGATGTTTCACCTGTTGTGTCGGGAGATCATCCCTGCCCCCAAGTATCTAGCTTGAGTATCTTGCTTCTGGCTGGAAGCAAAAGGCGGCTCAGGCACACTTGTGTGCAGTTTCTCCTGTACCCTCACCCCCGAGCACCATGAGATGAACCCATTTCCACTTCCAGCTCCCTCCTTTCCATCACCTCCACCAGCCAATGGCTTAGAGGTCCATACGTTACCTCTCTGATTTCTTCTATCTCAGTCTGTTTTATTAGCCTGCTCGGTCTGGCTCCTCCCCCAGCTAGAAAAGAGAAAGAACGTGGCGTATCTGTGGACAGGCTGCTACTGCTCCCACCCCGTTCTCTTGTTATCCGTGTCTTTTCTGCCTTGTCTGAGTTTACAGTGTAATTCATCCTGGTCTCCAGCTTCAGGCCCCAGTGATTTCAATCTGTGCTCGCTCTGGTGCTTTTGCCATGCATTTTTAATTTATTGCTTAGTTGACTGAAGTCTTTCTTAAAAAAAAAAAAGGTAGGGGGTGATCAACTCTTTGTATGTACAGTGTTTTTCTGTTACATAAATGCTTGAGCTGCAGTTCAGTTGACAGAAACATCTTGGGTCACGTTTTCTTTCCTGTACCTTTCTTAAGCATGGCTCCACCAACCCTGGCAGCAAACCTGCCACTATGGAGAGAAACCTGCCTGTAGCCCGATGCCTTTCCCCATTGTCAGTGGGTTGGTCTTTCGCCTGGGTGCCCCAAGTATTGTTTGCTTTATTACCCGTGAGAGCCAGTAACCGTATCGGGACTTGCCTCTACGTTCATTGTTCTTTGCCATTTTTCCTGGAAGAATTTTTTCAGCTCTGAGCCCTTGACCTTTACAGGCTTCTGCCTCCTCATCGGAAACTTGAAAAAAAAACAGAAAAAGCCCCATCCTGCCCGCCTCCCACCTGTGCTCATGTCTGATCTCCTGTTTGTGTCTTCCATGTCTGTCACTTCCTCTTCGTTGCTTTTGGAATTACGTTTATATTTACTTTTCCTCAGTCATCAGCTCCATCCACTCACCTCCCTGCATGTTCAGTGGGGTCTCCTCCATGCTGTTTTCCACGTTGCCTTCACTGGCCATCTGCTTTTATTTTCTTAGACATTTCTATGTCTAAGAAAATCCAGTCTTGAACTATCCAGTTCTGATTGTTCAAATGTTATCTCCTTTGCCCTGTCCATCTTTTTGCCCCGAGTTGTTGTGTATTTGCAAATGCAAAGGAAAAAAAAAAGACAGAGTTACCGTATTTTTCACAAACTTAATGCACACACGCTTGCCAACTATATTTAGCCATTGCATGACGACATTCTCCGGTGAGTGTTCTCCACCTGCTTTCTCCCCCCCTCTTCTTTCTCCCTTTTTGGCTTGTGCTATCTTAGTATAGATCCTGTGCTGATTATTTTCTAATGCTGCTCACCCCTGAGTTATTTCTGGACCAGCTAAGTACAGGATGCTCGTGTTGGAGAGAGCCAGGGCTGTGTGTGTGTGTCTCACTGCAGAGGCTCCTGACCACAGAGAGTCTCCCTCCTGCTCTGAGACAGAAGTTTCCATAGGAAATATCTCTGAGATTTCCTTCTGAAGTTCCTGATTCTACCTTGTGACACGTCAGGCCCAGTCTAATGTCTCCTGTCACCAGTCTAATAATGCATCTCTCTCTTCTTCTGTTCTATTTTGTTTCCTTTCTTCCTCCCTCCTTCTCTCCTTCCTTCTTTCCTTTCTTTCATTCTCTTCCTCTACCTTTTTTTAGTAAATAGTGTTATCAAAGAATAATATGCGTACAGGAATTGTGTATGAATCATAAGTTTAGGGCTTCCTTCATTTTCATAAAGTGAACACCCCTGTGAAACCACCACAAGGGGCAAGAACCAGGATATAAACCTCGGGATGGGGACTCCCCAGTCCTGTGCATCTCACCTAGGTCAGGGCCCTTGACCTCCGCCAACATCTGCCTCCTCACTGGAAAAGTGGAAAAAGGAGACCAAGCCCATGCTTCCTGCCACCACAGCTGGGGTGAGCCTCAGGATGACAGATTTCAGAGAGCTCTTTTATGTGTAAAGCATGACACAAGTGCCACCTAGCCATCTAAAAGGTCCCAGAGCAGCAGGCATTAGTAGTCCATGCTGCTTGTCCAGCAGTGAGAGGGAAATGCAAATGGGCCAGTGCTGGGCTTGGGCACACAGAGCCATGCTGGTGGCCGAGTCTGGGTCACAGGCTGTAGCTCCAAAGTCACCTTGTCTGCTCATGCCCCTTGTCTGTTTTCCTACCGAAGAATAAGCCACCACCTTCCTCAGTCCCACCACTGTTGTTTTCCTTTCCTTATTTTTGGACTTCACATAAGTGGAATCTTGTAGCATTCTCTTGTTCTAAGAGACCACAGTTTATCTGTTCTGCTGTTGATGGGCACTTGGGTGGTTTTTAACTATGGGACTAATACAGACACTCTTTCTGTGAATGTTCTTGACAATGTTTTTGGTGAACGTACCCACACATATCTATTGAACGCATACCTAGGAGTGGAACTGCTAGATATTAGAATGTACATGTCTTCAGCTTTGGTGAATACTGCCAGTTTTTTTTTTAAGTGTTTGAGCCAAGTTAGAATCTCACCATTGGGTTGAAGTCTTATCACACCACATCCTTGCCTACACTTGGTGTTCTCCATCTCTCCTTTTAGCCATTCTTCCTGGTGACTATGTAGAGGTATCTAGTCGTGATTTTAATTTGCTTTTCCGTGGTGACTGATGAAACTGGTCACTTGTTCCCATGGTTATTGGCCATCCTATATGTTTAGATATCCTTTTTTGTAAAGAGTGTATTTAAGACTCTGGCCTATTTTTCTACTGGATCTTTTTCTTAATTGATCTGTAGCAGTTTTTAAAAATATGTATATATTCTAGATACAAATTTTTTGTCGGTGCATTACAGATATATCCCCCATGTATTATAAATATCTTCTCTCACTTTCTTACAATTGTCTTTTGACAAACGGAAGTTCTTCATTTGGATGTAGCATAATTTATTAGTACTATCCTTTATTGTTCATATGTTTTGTGTTCTGTTTAAGAAAGCTGTGCCTGACCTCATTCTTTTTTTTTTTTATGACTAGAACAGTTTTATGGGAAAGCACTGTCTATAAGATGCATAATAAACAGTTTACACCATCTTCTTCCTCTCCCTCCTGAATGGCCAGTTATGTCTCCTAATCCTGAGCCCTTCTCCCTCATAAATTCGCCTCCCAGGTCAGCCTCGACCCTGGAGCACCTGCCTGCACACTGACACCACACCCTCGATGGGCTCTTGAGGCAGAGGGCACGGAATCATACATTTAACGAGGTGCAGTCCGTCTTTATGGGGCCAGCTGGTGCTGCGCTCAACACTCTTATCTTTTCAGTGTTGTAATGGGGGCTCTTCTGGACCTGCATGTGTGATATTCCGCTTGAATCACCAACTTCATTCTGCTCAGAGAGCGGCTCCCACATACTTGGAAAATGAGAAGGAGCTGCGAGCTTTTCTTAGCTTGTTGTCACGGCCCCTTCAGCTCTGCTTCCCTGCCTTTTTTGGCCTTTATTCTTGTCCCTTCCACTTCGAGACATTTTTTGATGTTAGTCAGCGGAGGGGACAGCGCATACCTTCCATGCAGAGGTTTGAGGTGACTTGGAACAGCAGGCCTCAGATCTGAGCGTAGCATGCCCTTGTCGAGCCCCACTGTGACTCTCTGGACACCCTACCCAAAGGGCACCCCCAGGTCCCCCAGCCATGACCAGGAGGGTGGCGTTTCCCACTCCTGTCCAGGCTTTATCTCCATGGATTGGATTTGGCATTGTGGAAACACTGTGTCTTTAAAAGCACCTTGAGGACACCTGGTCTCAATTTCCAGACCAAGAGGCGAGGATTTGGGTGCAAGTAGTTTATCTGGGAGATGACCCCAGAAAGCACTGTGAGCGGGGCAGGGAAGTGGAGGGGAGAGGAGAGGCAGAAGAGGTGCACAGATGGGCAGGTGACCACGTGGACCATGGGGTTACCCCAGCGGGACTCTCTGGGACACATGTGGGGCTTGCCTCAGAGCCACCCCACTCCAACTCCCGACCCTCGTGGTCCAGGGCTGCGCCATGGCCAGGGTGGCCTCCAGCAGGACGACTCTGGAAGCAGCCCGCTGTCTGACTGGAGTCCTGCCAGGGACACTGAGGCCTATGGAGAGAACGCCAGCTCCGTCTGCTTCAGTCATTTTCATAAGTGGGCTCATTCTGAGCACTGTGTCCACATCCAAGTTTCCTCCTAATACCAACAGGAGGCTGTGCTTCTAAATGCCTATTTTTGCTTTAGTAGAATTTTTTTGATTGTGTGTACATGCATGCTAAGAAATTCTCTAGGTGAGCCCCGGTAGCTGTGGCTCAGTTGGTTGGAGGGTCGTCTCCTAAACCGAAAGGTCGTGGGTTCGATTCCCAGTCCAGGTGCGTGCCTGGGTTGTGGGTGCAGTCTTCCCCTTCTGTTTCCAAGCCCAAGCCCAAGCCAGTTACCACGCCCCCTTGTGGCCCCAGCTGTGACCTGCATGCGGTGTTCTCAGCAGTCAGGCTCCTTCCCTTGTCAGCAGCATCTGATGTGTGCCGGACTGTGGTGCCTGGTGGAAGGGGACGCCTCCTGCAAGACCAAGCTGGACCCTCCCCTGGACGGGACCGAGTGCGGGGCGGACAAGGTAACCCCCGCCCCCCCACTGCTCCCCCACCGGTAGCTCCCAGTCTCCCTACAGGTCATCTGCACTGTTCACAGGAGCCCCTGAAGAGATACCCATGGAGCCCGCTCTGGGCAGAGGACCTCTTGCATTATTTCTTTATCTTCTGATAAGATGCAAGAATCATTTAGTTACTATCTTTGTTACCTCCACTCCTTTTGTCACTGAAGTGGATTTAGGTGAAAAATTTTACATCCATAGACCACAAATGGAAAGATAGGGTCGTCGGCCGTCGTAAACCAGATTCTAGGAGAACAGTTATCCCGTTCCAGCTGGAGGTTCAGAGAGCGAGCCTGCGGGCTGATCTTCCTTCACCAGGAGACTTGGATGAGGCTTAGAGAAGACAGGTGTCCAGGGCCCGCCATTCTCCTTGGTCGTATGGCAGGGATGGAAGCGGTTGCTGTGGTTGGGCACCATTGAATCCCCTGACTCTGGCGTTCAGAGCCGGGGAACACGCCGCCCTCAGGGTGAGAGGCCCTCCTGTTCAGCCGCGTTTGCAGAAGCTCAGGTTTTCTGGTGAGCCTGAGGATTGATCCTTAGGGAATGTGGGACACCCCGGCAGAGCACATGCACATAGAAGTCGAGGGCAAACCCGAAACCCCGGAGGGATGGGGGTGTCAGGTCGGTGAGGAAGGAAAGCCCCCGAATTGGCGCGCATGCGCACCCCAGAACAGGCTCCGTTCCCGCGAGGTGCGCGGAGCGATCTGGGGGTGGCCCGCCGACTTCTCGCGCGGAAGGATTCCCTGTGTTTCGTGTTTCAGTGGTGCCGAGCCGGGGAGTGCGTGAGCAAGACGCCCATCCCGGAGCACGTGGATGGAGACTGGAGCCCCTGGGGCGCGTGGAGCATGTGCAGCCGCACCTGCGGGACCGGAGCCCGCTTCCGGCAGCGGAAATGCGACAACCCCCCGTAAGTGTCCCCCAACAGCCTCTCGGGGCATCTGGACCGGACTCTCGGACCGGCAGCTCTCTCTGCCTTATGCAGGGTTCTTCACCCAAGGCGAGGGTGCAAACAAAATGCACCCAGAGGTCCGGGTGCAGGGGGGTCGCGTCTGGCCGACGTGGTGCCATAAGTGCTGTGATGAGGTGGCTCTTGCTTCTTCGCCTGAGCCTCGGAGAAAGGTTTCCAGAGACAGCTGGACGACAGACCCTCCTGGCCGGCTTCGCGGACTTCCTTAGTCGGGGGTCATTCCAGGGAAGCCTGTGGACTTTCAGGAGAAAGGGGCCAACCTTCAAATTGGCTGTTAGCTGAGCTGGGAGCAGGCTGACTGTCGATGAGTCACCAGGCATCTGTGGGGTCAGCTGTTTTGTGCATCCACGTAGTTTTAAGCTGTCCTCTTACAACCGTTTGACCGAAAATAGGTTTTTAGGCTCCCTTTGATCGACTGGAGCCATCCCGCGGCCCTCTTGCTCGCCTTTACACTTTGGTTTCAGAAAAGTTCAGGGTTGGTCAGTGACAATTCCTTTATTGCACAGGCTTTTCTTTTCTTCTCCTGAAATTTCCCATTTTTAAATACTTCTTTAAATGGCCTGTTTTATGTCTCCTGTGCCCTCAGCCGCATCCCATCAATTTTGTAAATGCGCAAGTTATAAATTTTGACTAAACAGAAATGCTTTTTACCCACAATTAAGTCATGTTGATGAATAATTAGCAAATCTCTCTTGTGTTTAAAAGGTCCTGATGCCCTGGCTGCATCCCAGAGCTGATAAATCACAAGCTCTAGAGCGGGGCCCAGGAGTTGGAATTTTTAAATCTCTCCAGACCATTCCATGGGCCAACGTGGAGAACGTCCGGATTAAAGAGAAATTTATGCTCACCATTCAGGCAGTGCAGGGAACACTTTTTTTTTTCTTTTTCCTGGTAGTGCTATCAGAATAGGTATCTTGTGTTTTGTCTTACTAAAACTTTTTCCTCTGACACCCAGCAGAGTGCCTGACACATAGGCGTTTAATCATTTAGGAATGATGTCCTAATTAAAAGTGTTGATGGTGTACTAGGATTCTCCAGAGAAACAGAACCAATAGAAGACAGAGAGAGAGGGGGGGGGTGTTTATTAGGAGGAATTAGCTCCCGTGATTACCCAGGCCAAGAAGTCCCTTGGCCTGCCGCTGGCTGGTCTCCTTCAGTCTGAGCCTGAGGACCAGGGGTGGAGAAGAGATGTCCCAGTCCAAGGAGGGTGGGGGACAAATTCCTCTGCCTTTTGTTTCAATTAGCCGTGGGCGCACTGGATGGTATCCACAGCACTGGGAAGGACTGTCTGCTTTACTCCGTCCCCCGTTCACATGCTAATCTCGTCCAGCTACATCCTCCCAGACACACCCAGAAATAATGTTTAATCTCGGCACCTGGCAGCCAGCCCAGCTGACCTCAAATTAACCATCACCAGTGGGTAATGATAAGATACCCTAGGTAACTAAGAGGGTGAGAAAATGATAGAGAGTGGCTTTGGTTTTTACATTACTCTGTGTCGGAGTTTTGGGAAGGAAGCTCTCTTTGGATTTGGAATCGTGGTGCTGAGACGGAGGCCAGGCACGGTTGGTTGTTAGCGGTCACGTTTCCTCAAGGAAGCCCCTTCTGGGCCTCAGTTGTGCCCATGAGAGGGACCTGGCACAGTATAGTGAGAAGAGCCAGGCTTTGAACAGAGAACAGACGAGGCTTCAAGTCCCAGCACCTCTCCTTGTGGCATGTGACTGCTCTTACCTGTCGTTCCTGGTAACTAGTTTATGGGGTTACATAGAGGGGTGTGGTCTGTGTTGAACACGCCCCCTCTCTCTGTCAGCATCTAGGTAGGAATGGGGAGGAGGCCACCAGCCCTGCCCCCTGGCGGGGCTCAGAGGAGGCTGATTGGGGTGAAAAGGCTTTGCTGAGCGCAGAGCATCATTTGCAAAGGTTGTGTCTGTCACCGGCACTCTGTGTCTTCGATCACAGCTAGCGTGCCCCAGCTGAGGGCTGGTCTTCTTTGGCGTGGCACAGACACCATCCCGTGCCAGGTGAGGCGGAGCAGTGGGTGCATTGTCCTGTGAGACCCACAGCACCCTCCCTTCCCTCCTCCGCCCCCAGACCAGTTCTCCACAGGAAGCCGGGGTGGTCCTCTTGGGCATAAATCCCATTCTTTCTCCTCCTGCTCCTGCCCTGTCTGTCATCTCCCACGGGACTTAGAATAAAATCCACGCTCTTGACCGTGGCCTCTGTGTGCGTCTCCCACGGCTGCCATCGTAAGTTACCACAACGCGGTGTCTTAGAACAGCGGTTGACCTCTCGTAGTTCTGGAAACCGGAGGTCTGAAGTCAGAGTGTCCCCAGGATTGATTTCTTCTCGAAACTCGGAAGGAGAATCTGTTTCATGTGTCCCCCCCACCCCCCAGCTTCCAGTGGCCTCTGGCATCTTTGGTGTCTGTGCTATGTAGACACAGCACTCCAGTCTCTGCTTCCACCTCTGCCTGTCTTCTCTTCTCTTCACTGGACCTGGGGCCTGCCCCGATTCAGGACCATCGCACCTTACAATTAAGAGTTCCTTATTTATATCAACCAAGACTCTTTTTTTCAATTTAGGGGCCCAGTGGTGGGTTCTAGGCGGGCTTATCTTTGGGTGGAAGGGCCACCATTCCACCCACTGCAGCCTTAAAGCTTCCTTTCTGATCTCAGGGTCGTGCTCCGCCTCCTTCCCCTCCCCCAGCTCACCTTGGACCCACATCGGGTCTCCAGGGAACGTCCTCTCCTTGGACGCTCCTCCTTCCCCGACCACCCTGCCTCAGGTGGGCTATTTGCTTTGCACCCCTTCTTGGCGCCCTGTCATGTCGTGTGTGTGCTATAGTGGACAGTTTGTAATTACCCTTCTGGGTTAGTTCACTGCTTTTCACTTTGTCCCCCCTGCCCTGGCTTTGGAGCCCCACGCAGGCCATACCTGTTGGGGCTCCATCCTACCCTCTGTGCGTCCTGCAGAACCACTTTTACATAATACGTGTGGGCCACTGTACTGCCTGCAGGCACGCTTGCTGAGAATAAGCATTCCCAGTGCCCCAGACCACACACCTAGTATTGTGTTCCTCTGACACAATAAGGTTCGTATGTTATTCTGCCAAGACGGTGGGTCAGATAGGCCTTGTACCGTCTTGCTTCACTGAAGCCCAAATGCTGTGAACAGCCAGGGAGCGGAGTCTGGGCCCCCCTGCACATGAGGGTCACTTGGCTGGTGCCCGCCCTGAGCCAGCGAAACCGTAGCCCACGGCTGGGGTGCTGAGTGCCCTCTTGAGACGGGGTAGGAAGTTTAGGCGGCTGCTTTTGCAGAACGACCTGACAGGGTGATTGTTACAAAACACAGCTGATCGAGGCCCCCGGAGCCAAGCTCTGACCAAACAACATTCTCTCCCCGGCTCAGTCCTTAAATCACCAGGCTCGCTGCCTTGAGATTTCCCAAGGATGTCCAAATCTCCCTGCTGTGTACATCTCGGGCTGGGCACGCTCCCACCAGCCCGCGCCCCTCCCCCTTCACCTCAGTCCTGGCCCCTCTCCCGTCTGCTGCAGCTGGTTTATTCACTGTCCAAAAATACTGGCAAGAGAGTCCCCCCGCCGCGCTCCCACCCCTTTTTTTCTCTCTCGTCTTGGTCTTTACAGCTATTGGAATTTACTCTTCTCGCCAGCTGACATCCAGGCCTTGGGGACCATCCGGGGTTTGAATCCAGCTTGCTCGGCTCGTGCTTTCCTGCCGTAATTCATGTTGCTGCTGGTGGGAGCTTCCACCCAAGGGCTGCAGGGCGGAGAGGTCATCTCTAATTCGGATGCTGGTTCCCCGTCCTGTTCGGGGGTGGGCTGGGGGGAGGGTCAGAAAGGCTCAGATGCACATGCGTGTGACAAGCCAGGCCTGCCTCGGGGTCACCGGGTGGCATCACCCATGAACAGCCTGCTTCCTAAGCCCTGGTGGGAGGACGGGGGGGTGGGAAGTTACATGCCTGTAATTGCTTCTGCTCCCACAGTGAAATCCCCATGTATGGGCTTCCCACAAGCCAGGGACCCCATGTTCGCCTGGATGTCTTCTGCACTGGAACCTAAGTTACTTGGATACCTCTCAGAGGAGGCCTTAAAACCAGGACACTGGCTGTCCTGAAAGGGCGTTAGCAGCCCCGTGCCACTCCTGAAACCCTGAGACTGTGCCCTGCCCCCTCCTCGGAGCTCCTGGTTCAAGGGCAGGAGGCAGAACCATGGCCCTCCGCTGAGCTCCCCGGGTCCCCAGAGGGTGAGCCGACCTGAACCACGGTTTCGACTTTCCCCTCTGAACAGAGCAGAGCAAAGAAGTAAAACGTGCCGCCCGGCTGGCGTCTCTCTCTTCCTCCCTCGTCCGTTCCACACAGCCCTCTCCCCTGAGATCTGCTGCCCTGTGACCTGTACGTCTCTGCCAGGCTTTGCCGCCTCCCCGCTCCCCCGCTCAGGTCCGCCCCTGTCTCGGGGGACCCACCCTGGCAGGGTCTCGGGGAAGAACTCGACTTTCTCTCCTCGTTTCTCATCAGAGCCCCTCTGCCTTAACTTTGCCTTAGTTTTTTGGTTTTTTGTAAAGATTTTATTTCTTTCCACAGAGAGGGGAAGGGAGGAAGGAAGAGAGGGAGAGAAACATCCGTACGTGGTGGCCTCTCGACGGTTGCCCGTTCCCGTCGTTGGGTTTCGTGTCTCAGCTTTGACTTTGTTCGTGTTTCGGAAGTCCTTTGAGGAGGGCACGGAGAGAAGTTGGGGGTTGACACTGGAGAAGTACCTAGGGACACCCGTCACACCCTGCGGGCACGGTGTCCATGGGCAGTGTCCGTGGGCCAGCCTGGGGAGTCGCTGGGCAGCTGCCCCCTTCCGTCTGCTCCCGTGGCGTTGGGAGTGCTCAGGAGTCACTTCCCACACCCACCTCTTCCCACGGAGCTCCTCCCAAGGGTGTGGTCGGACACCCCCTTCTGGTTCTTTGTGCAGACGCGAGGTCCTGGTTACAAAGAGCAGGCAGAATGAAAGCCCTGTGGGCAGGTGAGCTCACGGTCACTGTTTATGTGTCCGTGCCCCTGTCCTCACAGCTTGTCACCCACATCCTCTGGTGACCGAACCGCACTTCGGGATGAGGTTTTGACCTGGGGGCACCGCCCCGCCCAGGCCTCTGGAGGAGAAGATCCCTGTTGCCTGCCCTGCGGTCCTTTCCTGTCCTTTAAGGCGGCCACCGCAGGGTGGCTTTGCTGATAGCAAGACATGCTGAGGGAGGAGAAACAGTTGGCCCTGGAATGACATGGCCTCACACAGCGTGGTTTCAGCCTCAAGGGGGTGTGTTTTCAGCAGTGGTTGGCCCTCTGTGTCCTGGAGCAGCGTGGCCGTGGACGAGACCACCCACGCCTTTTCGGTGCACGGTCAGGAGGCGGCAGGTGCGGAGGGCCCACTTGAATGATACATGGGCTTCTGACTGCGCGGGGGGCTGGCGCTCCTTGGCCCCCTCGCTGTGTTCGGGTCAGCCAAGCTCAAAGCGGTTAATGTGTCAAGAACGTCATCCTGCCGGCAGGTGGGAGCAGTTCCTGGAAAGTTGGAGCAGAGCAGTGATTTGTGATTTGTGCTCTTCTCACCCGTGTGCTGAACTTCAATCAGAAGTGTGCACGGGAAGCTACCTTACCCCTCCGTGTTGGTCTCGGTGTCATGGCGATGACGGGAACCGTGGAGGTCGCCCCTGTTACAGCCCTTCCAGGACACCCGGGGCCTCATGGGAGAGCTGGGCACAGGCCAGGCCCAGTCCTGCCCCTCAGTAATGCCCCTCACACATGGGCTTGGCCAGAGAGCACAGCTGAGTCTCCAGGACACGTCAGGCCCCCAGTCTCAGCAGAGTGTCCAGGACCCAAGGCCACCTCACTGACCATGTGTGGTCTCACACGTGCCCAGGTAAAGGTTTCAGAGCAGAGATCTGACTGGCCTCTCCCCAAAACCCACAAACGAGTGAATGAATCATTCTGATTCTTCTCGTTATAGAGTAGACGAGAGCTTCTTATTTACACATCCTGAAACTTCACTACCGCAGGAGTGTACCTCGGAGCCATTTTTAAAGGTCTTCATCTTACAGAAGACCAAAGCAAACAAAAACCACACGCACCAAAAATTTCCCTGGGGGTTTTCTCCTTAGAGATGGCCAAGTTTGAAGTTCAAATGAAAGACACTGTTTGTGGACCCTGCTGAACTGATACTCACCATATTGCATTTCCACTTGACCTTGATTTACAGCCTTTGGATGCGTTTTCCTGCCGGCTCGCGTTTTCGCCGTCCGCATGGGGGCTGGGGCGGCTCTATCGTGAAGTGTAAGAGCAGCGGGGGGTGCTCTGGAAACCTGGCCCAGCCCCTCCCCTTCCTGGCAAGGAGGCAAAAACTGAACACCCGGCTGTTTCCCCTGCTCCGCCCCGTTAACTCGCCCCCTTCCCTTCCCTCCAGCCCCGGGCCTGGGGGCGCACACTGCCTGGGCGCCAGCGTGGAGCACGCCGTCTGCGAGAACCTGCCCTGCCCGAAGGGCCTGCCCAGCTTCCGGGACCAGCAGTGCCAGACGCACGACCGGCTGAGCAGCAAGAAGAAGGGCCTGCTGACCGCGGTGGTGGTCGATGGTAAGGGAACATGGCGCGTCCTTTTCCTCCATCCTTTCCCAGAAACGTAGACACTTCCTCGTAAAACCCAGAGGGCACCGCTCACCCCACAGTCCACCCAACAGGACGCTCCCGTCCCCCCTGCCCGCCTGCCCGAGTCCGGCCTTGGACCCGTTTCCTGGGCAGTGGGATTGAACTTGGATGACCCGGCTCGGCGAGATTTCCCAAAAGCAGCTGGGAGGCAGGCGGCGGCCCAGATTCCTCCGGCACCCCCGCTTGCAGCAGGGCGGGGGTGCTGGCAGCCCGCCGCTCGCTGCCATGTGCCGAGGGGCCCTGGGCCAACTTCGAGGAGGAGAAGGCGGCTCTGCAGGGCGGGACCGTGGGTTTGTGAGTCTGCCGCTTCCCTTTCCAGGGCCGCTGCTTTCTTGCCTTTCTTTTCCTGGTTCATTCTGGGTCATGTCTCCCTCTTGGACTGAAGTGTTTGGGGGAAAGTTCTGAGGACACTTTGCAGCTGGTGTAGATGATAATGAGCCTGGGCCACATTTTCTTTCGAAGAGCGTTTGCCCAGGGCCAGGGGCTCTGACCAGTGGGCTGCTGCAAGCCTTGCCTGTGGCTGAGGACATTCTCGGTGGTCCACCCAGTCGGTAGGGTTCGTAATGTCTGGTTTAGCTTCGGTAAGGACCCCACAGGATCTAGGTCAGGGCTTTTTACACTTAAAACCCTGTTCCTCCTCAGGAAACCAGACCTTGCTCTGACGATGAGTATCGGGTCCTCTTTACCGAGCCCACACCTGCCAGGGACAGGTTAGCTCTGCCCACGTCACCTCATTTCATATGCAGAAGTGCGCCGAGCAGAAGACAGAGGTTGCAGGGTCCAGGACAGGTCTGGGCTCCGGGAGCTGACAGGAAGCAGAGAAGGGAGCTGACCCCAGATCTGGAGGAGCTGACTCTGAAAATAACCAGCCATTACCTGGCTCCCAGGACTCAGGGCCTACAGAAAGCACGACCTCACGATGCTGAGTGAGGGGGCCTCCATGAGGACTGAGGCAGCGGGGCTCGATTTTTGCGCAGCGTCTAAAGTCTTCTGCGCGGAAATGAAGTTCCTGTACTACGTTGTTAAGTTCCTTCCTGGAGATTGGGAGGTCCCCTGAAATGGACATCATGCAGTCGGCTGTCACGAGCTCCAATGTGCATAGCTGTGCAGGGACACGGGCCCAGACCATGCAGGGAACAATGGCCTCGGGCCTGCAGCTGTGATCCCAGCCACCTGACCCGTCCGCTTCGAGCTACCTTGCAAAGTGGCATGGGATGTTCTCAGTCCTGGCAGAGGATACCAACCCACTCAGCCGTGGGCTCTTTTTAAAGCATCGGGGGTGAGGGGAGCTCCTCGGACATTTTTCTTTTTTTAAGGATGACCACCACCTTCGGGAGCTGTGTGGTGGTCACTGCATTGTCCCCTGCCCAGCAGACTTCAAAAGCGTAGCCTTTGTGACCTTGGCTTTCCCTGCAGACGAGGCAGAGAGGAGCAGGTGAGGCTGGGGGCCAAGCTTCTCCCTGCTGCCCTCCCAGAAGGCTCGGGCCCACTTGGAGCCCGAGTAGAATAGCACCGGCGGCAGCCGCGGTGTTTCCACGCCGTCAGCCCTGCCGGGCTGACTGAGAAAGACACTGTGGTCCTCTCCCGGGTCCTCTCCCCTCCTCGGGAGCAAGGGGAGGTCAGGGCTGAGACAGACGCACCCCATTTCCATTTCCACTCAGCGGTGTTTGCAGAGGTTTGTTGTTCTTTCCTTCATCTCTTGCTGCAGTTTTCAGTCCTCCTGCCTCATGTCTTCAACGCAGAAATCCCACTCCAATGTCTGTTTTTCCACCGATTTCTCCAAGTCCAGATTAAACTTCTGTTTTGCTTCTAACCACTGCTGGATGGCTGACCTCCTCAGCTCCCTTATCGTCACAGGGGCTGGGACGGATGTCTGCTCAGCCCCTCGTGTGAGGCCTCACAGCGGAGCTATTTGGGGAAGCTTATTGCATTAAGAATGTGTTCACCCAACCCACTCGCTTTCTAGTTTTTATTTTTTCTCACAAGGCCAGAAGTAAGGATAGCCAGAGTGCCGCTGCCTTTGATCTGAAAAGGCAACTTGTATTTGAGGACAGCCAACACGCAGTAAGCATTTTGCCTTTGAAGGAGAGAACCCCAAGTTCAAGGCTTTGTGAGGGGACACATGCCCTTCTAGTGTGGAATTGTTAGGACTTCTCGCATATCCGGTTTCATTTCCTTCTCAAATATCAACAGAAGCCAGCGCTTTGAAAAGGAGCACTTCCCAAGGATAAAGACTGAAGAATAAGTGGCCAATTCAGAGGGCAGGGAGAGAGGACCATCGCAAGCTCTCCTCTCCAACTCTCTTTATAAAAGGCCCGGCTCCCACGTGGCCACCTCGAAGGGAGTGACCCTGAGGTTGGGCTGCAGTCCCTCCTGCAGCCCTTCACGACTGCCCTCCTCACAGCATTGCTATCACTGCGGAATTCGCTGGCGGTGACGCACAGTCCAAGAAAGGAGAAGCAATGTTTTTTTTTTTTCCTCTTATTGAAAAAAAGGAAATTCTTGCAGAGGTAGATTTTCCAAGGGAGGCCTCAGGACCACAAATCCATACCACCCCCAACAGAAGACAAAGACTCTCCTTAGAAAATATTTCTACATGGAAAAGCCTTCAGACAGAAACCCGTTGGGATGGCCCCTTGCCAAACCCACCCCATTTCTGCTCTCCCCGTGGAATCTCATTTAAGTGGAAACCTGCCTGGGTTCAGGCCTCCCTGGCCAGGCCTGCAGGCCACGTGCCCACTGAAGTGGCGGCGGGCTTGGCAAAGGCCACGTCTGGACGTGGGAGTGCATTCCCAGCTCCTTCTCCCCAGCGCGCTGAACCTGCTCCGGGTCAAAACCTCCCCGGGGGCAGGGAGGGAAGGATGGCAAGCACTCTCTGATTCCCACTCAGCCAAGCTGGCTGGAGTTGCTGAACTAAAAAGAGGGAAGTTGTCGTGAAGATACAGGGCGTCTCACTGGTCCCAGGGGCTGGGGCGGGGGTCCGAGGCCAGGGCCCCTTGATGGTGTCAGGAGCTGCTCTCCACCTGTCCCACAAGGGTGAGTCATTGCTCCCTGCCCTCGCTGCAGAATGGCGCTCTCACAGCTTGGCCTGCACGTGGGCTGATGCACGGCTCGCAGCACCTTTCTTGCCAAGGCCTCGGCCCTTCTCCGAGTCCTTTGGTCCAGCCGTGGTACAGAGTTCAGACAGAGCATTTTATGTGTTCAGTGAGGAACAACAGCCCAGCAACTGTATGTTAATACTCTCAGTGGGGTCCCAGGAAGGACCCCACAGTCAGATGCATGGACACCTCTACCACGACACCCGTGAACCACAGTCTCCAAGCGGGACACTGGACATGACTGACAGCCACATGTCAGCCAAGGCTGGTTTTGCCAGCAAATGTGTTTGCCACAAGTGGAAGAAAACACTTGCCATTTTCAGAGCTTGGGTGATTCCTGAAGTGTGGACAAGGTTGTCTCCACCTCTTTAGGATCCACCAACAATGAGGAGACACAGCCTCTTTTTCAGAATTTCAGTGCTGATTTTTCAGGAGAGAGACTCTGGTGTAGATATGGTCAGGTGGCCAGCCCTGGTCCAATCAACTGAGACCTGACTATAAAAATCATGATGAAGAAGGGGACTCTGATTGGTCCAGCTGTGGTCAGGTGGCCACTGTTGGTCCAATCAGCTGAGACCTGATGTCCTGATTGGGGCTCTGTTGGCAAGTATAGTAGGTGAGCACTGCTGTAATTGCTGGCTGTTGGGACTGAGCAGCTTCTTCAGCATGTGCCCCCCACACGAGGCCAGGCAAGGCCAGGTGGGGCTTGGTAAGCACTTGGGATGGCCTCAAAAGTAAATGGTGCCCCTCTCTTAATAAGACTTTTTAACTGCTGCAAGAGGGAGAATGGTGAGCATGCTAAGGGACCACCAGTATCCTCCTTACCAGGGGAAATCCTCAAAGCGTCTGCCAAGCAGACTGAGCATGTGGCTTTGGAGCCTGTCTCCCCTTCCGAGTCTGTGGCTTCCCCATTCGAGCATCAGCCCTGACAGCAGGTGGGGCAGTGAGAAGCAGGGACCCACCCCAGGGAGCCCAGCCTCGGCTTCCTCTGGGCAAGAGGAGCACTGCAGACTTCTTTCCTTGGAGAGCGTGTTGTATCACTTACAGGATTTGACCTCCTTCCATGAGATTACTGACACCTTGAGAAGCTGAGCCCCGGGGTGGTGTGTTCTTTACCAGGGCCTTCAGGAGATCAGTTGCCAGCAATGCTAGTCATCCTGGAGGGACATACTCAGAGAATGTGGAGGGGCTCTGAGCCCCTTCCTTTATGAAGGTTATCCTGAGTCCTCCTGGAAGATAGTGCTATTCCTTCCCAGAGATAGCGGTGAGGGGGTGCCCTGAATTCTGAGTGCAGTGCTGAGAAAAGGAGAGGGTCACACGGAGGGGGTTCTGGCCAAGGGGAACATGTGCCACCTCTGGACTCAGTTCTGGAACCTGGGTGTCCCCAGACTGCCCGAACCTCGGAGGACAGTGTCTGCAGGTGGGAGGGTCGAGTGCAGGTTGAGTGGAGTGTACCTTGCTGCCTGAAGCCATGCCCTCCATCCCTCTGCTGAGGTGGGGCCCTCAGATGTGGGGAGCCCCCAATTCTCATGCTTGCACAGATAAGCGACCTCATCTTTTCCGAGTCTGCTCTTTCTAAATTAGCTCCAAACAGCCTTTCCTTTTCCTCCCGACATCCCATTTTGGCTTCAATCAGAGCGTACACTCAGAAGCCGTGAAGTCCATGACACCTGCGATTTGTGTTCAGCAGCACCGTTTTGCCCCTTGGTGTTTTTGGCCCCCAGAGTTCTCCATTCAGAGAGGAGACAGGGATGATGGGAACAGAATTGGGGTGGAGTGGCAGGGTGGGGTACTGGCCCCGCCCGTCAGGGACTTGGGTGCCCACCTGTGAAACCGAACAACAATGACTGCACTCACCGGAAATGCAGAGACACCACTTAGCCTGCTGCCTGGCACGAGGTGGTGACAGTTGTTATTTACGGTCCTGTCATCACCGTCCTCCCCAGCATTATTCCTGCTGTTCAGTGAGTCCCCCCCAAAATTCAGTCGCCCCCCAGGACTGAGGCCACACTTGGGTTTAAAGGTTATTGAAATCTGCGGTTTTCAACCCGCTTTGGCCAAAAGGACCCTTCCTTGTCACCTTCAGTCATTTCTCTCTCATTCTCGAAGAAGAAATGTTCCCCCGAGTGCGCCGATCAGGGCTCCATGGGAGACGAGCCGTGGAGAGCTGCCGAGCACAGGGCGTTCAGTGAACGTCACTCGCTCACAGTGGCCCGGATGCTGGGTGAGGTGGCTGCGCCGCTCTAGTGAGGGGTCATCATCTGGGATGCCCAGGCCCCCCGCTGAGGCCCCGTCAGCCCCAGAAGGCTTTCTCCACCACCGCCCCACCGGGAGGACCCACTGCGGGGCCTGGTGGTGGACACTAAGGCCTGGCAGAGGCGGTACACGGGTGTTGGTGTTACTCTCTCTGGAGGTTCCTGTGCAAAACACCCTCCCGTGTCCTGCGTGGCCCACACAGCCCTTCTCACGTCAGCGCCCACCCCCTTGTTCCCCCCAGATAAGCCGTGTGAACTATACTGCTCACCCCTGGGGAAGGAGGCCCCGCTGCTGGTGGCCGACAGGGTCCTCGATGGCACGCCCTGCGGGCCCTACGAGACCGACCTCTGCGTGCATGGCAGGTGCCAGGTGATGTGTTTTCTTCGTATCCTTGGGGGGGCTTGGAGGAGGAGGCTCCCTCCCCTCTGAGGGGCTCAGTGTGGGGTGGGGGCCTTGGGAGACTGGGACCCCCTACTGCAGGCTCATGGGCAGGCCCGCCCAAAGTTGCGGTGGCTGCCAGAGTAGCTGTCTAGTGTTTAAATGTTCGAAAATGCTGAAATAACTTCAGACGTCATGACGAAGGGCAGAGTGCACCGAATGCTGAGGTGGGTTTGGAAGATACACGTGAATGTGCATTTTGGGGCAAACACTGCTCTTTTCCAAGAGACGCAGGACTCAGCAGATTCCTTCGCAAATGGTACCCAGGGAGGTGAACATGCCTGGCGTTTGGGCACTGCCCCCCCTACTTGGGGGGTAGTCGCCCCCATCCGGATGTTGAGTGTCTGTGGCTCAACAGACTGATGATAAATGTCTCTTAAGAGGACAGAAAGGGAGGCAGGGAGGGGAGATTGGATGCACACCCCGCACCTGTATTCAGTGGTCCTGGGCTGGGGGCCCACCTGTCCCTGGGTCCTGCCGGCCTGATGGAACAGAGGTGACCCTGCTCCTCTGTTTGTCCATCGGCACAGGTGCCCTTTGACAGCTGGGATGGGGAGGGGGCAGGGGGAGTCAGTAGGCTGCTGGTGTCCAGCACCTAGAGGGGCGTGGCTCAGGTGACTCCACCTGGACAGGGCCACTCGTGCCCTGTCTCCTGATGACTCGGTGCCACCCTGGCCGGTCAGCTGAGAGCCCAGAAGGCTCCCCCAACCTCAGATACATGCTGTCACGGCCCTTGTGGCCCAGCTCCCTCAGCTGTGTCCTCAGTAGGTGAGCCACCCAGAGCAGGAGGACACAGCGGACCCCCACGCAGGGGGGTGTCAGGATTGACGTCCACATGGCAGGGAAGGGAGAGCCAGGTCTGTCCTCCGGTGTTCGCTTTCCCTTGTGTGGCCCCCGTTGGCCTGTGTGAGACTGCAAGGAGCCCGCTCACCAGGGGCCACAGAGGGGTCCTCGGATTTCAGCGGGGAAAAGAGAAGTGGCCGTGTGGGAGCCTTGTGGGGACAGGCGCCTCAGGCTCCCAGCTCCTCCTGGACTCGACATCCCTCTCTGCTGCCCAGGTTCAGTGCAACACTGAAACTCCTGACAGTCGTAAATGCCAGGGGCCCGGGGTGGGGAAGCTGTTGTCTCCCCTCAACTGGGCCACGATCCTGTCCCCAAGCCTGGAGCCCCCTGGCCCCCGAAGGCAACAGATCTGCTTCATCCCATCCGTGTCCCCCAGCCTGGCCGAGGGCATAGGTGGCCAGATTTTGGAAACTGAGTGACAGGGAGACAGACAGAAGACAAGGGTCCAGAGGCAACTTCTAGGATGATCCCCGCGGCCGACCACTGCAGACCTCCTGGATGGTTTTCCCTGCAGCGTCCAGACTCGCCCCCACCCGGGGTTTTCCAGGAAGCTCGGCAATGTCCAGGGTGCCCACCCAGGGAAGGAGGCGGTGACTGGGTGACGGGCTGGGCCCTGGTGGCTGCCCCCTCACGTGGGCAGTCGTCTTACTGTTCATTCCTGAAACGAGGAATTGCGGACGGCCCTCCACAGACTGCTTGCAAGCCGAGCACAGGATTTGATTTGTTCTTCGATCACATGCCTGCACGGGCCATCCTGCAGCTCAGTGGTGCACAGCCCTCTGGGGACCACGTTCCCTCCAGAGCCATGCCCGCTGGCCACCTCCAGCCCCTGCCAGCATCTGCAGCGTCCTTGACAACTCAGAGGCATTTCTAAGAATCCTGACGTTTTCCAGTCAGCGGGGCCGTGCTGAGTGGCTGGGCGTGATTCCAGCACTGAGTGACCAGTGGGCCCCTTCTGTGACCTGGCCGTCTTCGTGGCCTTTTCGGGTGGGTGTCTCCCTGTGCCACGAAGGTGACACTGCAGTCCTGTGGCCGTACAATGAGGATGAGATGCCACTGGAGGCCTTTTAATGGCCTTAAGTCTGTAGTTCTAGGGCACCATCACTCCGGAGCCTGTCCCGCACTGGGGTGTGACGGGAATGGCCTGGGGACACATGCCTGCCCAGGTGTCACAACACCTGAACCCGCCATTCTGTCCCAAATGCCTCCATCGCTATGGTCATTGCACCTGCCGACCCCTGCACTGAGTGTGGTGCCGGCCAAGAACGGCCCCTCGGGGCAGGGGCGCTGGAGCCCAGAGGGGACAAGGGCGCCTTTCACGGTGCTCTGCAGCAGGTGGAGCTTGGAGCCATCCTGCTGATGGGAAGACCCCCACCTGCCAGTTCTCAAAAGCAACGTCTCCACTGCCTGCAGGCACCCCCAGGACACCCCCTGGCAGCCCACCAGTCCCAGCAAGAGGACCACCATCCTGGTAAATGGTGGCATCTCCTACCTGCAGGCACCTCATGAGATTAAAACATTGAGAAACAACTCACTTCCTGAAGGAAGTTAAAATTGCCTTGTGTAATTTTCCTAACAGTATTCATTCTGCAGAGAAAAACGATAAAGTCAACCTTAGCTTCACTGTTACATCAGTTCCCCGCAAAAAACCAAATCAGGAAAGTTGTAGTTAATGAATTTTTATAATAAAGGTAAGCATACTCTAATAAGACAATAGGAAATTAAGTTCAAATGCTGTATTTATTATAGGGTGTTCTGTGGTGATTGTGAGTGAGTAAGACAAGAAGAACCAGTTAGCCCTGGCTGGTGTGGCTCAGTGGACTGAGGGTCAGCCTGCAAATCAAAAGGTCGCTGGTTTGATTCCCAGTCAGAGCACATGCCTGGGTTTCGGGCCAGGTCCCCAGTGGGGGGCGCACAATAGGCAACCACACATTGATGTTTCTTTCCCTCTCTTTCTCTTCCCCTGTCTAAAAATAAATAAAATGTAAAGAAAAAAATCAGTTAAAGAGAAGAATAGTGCAAGTAAAAAATTTAAAAGTCTTGGATTTATGAGCAGAGGATCTGTACCTGTTGATATAATGTAATTGGGTAAAAAGTAGAAATTGTCCACATTTTATGTTCTGCCGCACCAGCGGAACTATTTCCTTGGTTTACTTACTAGCTTTCCCTGTGGTTCCTTCAGCCATGAACTTTGCTGTTCCGGGATCGCAGAAGGCGTTCTGGGAAATTTTGGGAACACGGCGACAGGCGGGTCGGGAGTGCAGGGCACAGAGGCTCCACAGGGCAGACGGACTCACACCGCCACACAGAACGGAAACACCGTTGTATCTGCTTTTATGAGGCCCGAGTTCAGTTTCATTCCAGTGAGTCACAAATTACTTAACATGCTGAAATGAAACTTAACAGCACTCATAAAAGTGAGAGCGGGGGGTGGCAGGGGGAGGGGAACATAAACATTGTCTCTTTTTCAGCAGGTCCCTGTAAATCAGGAGCCCTCTCGTTAATGATCCCTACCATTGGCCTCCATAGCAGAGACATCCAGTTAATACGCCTCTCCGGTCCAACCCGCCTCCGAGCTACTGACCTGCCGTGGGCCCATCAGACCCGGGGCCAGGCCTGGACGCACCTGGAGCCAGACACACTTGGCTTCCCTCTAAGGCCCAAGCCGCCAACTCAGTCCAGTGAGGACTGCACCTCCCCGGGACCTTAATGGGTGTGCGTACCCTGTGCTTGATGGATACGGAACCGAAATGAAACACCTTCGGGGTCTGTGACCTGCTTCGGTGGAGGGAGTGCATCTGATCATCTGCGTTCTCCCAGGAGCTGGCTCAGAGGGGAGCTTTTGGTCACAGCCTGAGAGGCAAAAATGAGTGGAGGTGTGGGAGGCGGGGCCCCCTGCGCTCACGGCTGAAGAAGTCCTTTGGCATCTGAAGCCCATTCCAGCTGACTGTTTCCATTGTCCAGAATTTCTTGGCCTCCCCTTGTGTGTGCAGTGGTTGATTAGGCCAGTAGAATAATTGCTGGGGGGATTTAGGAGAATTCTAAGAGGCTCTGGCCTCAGTGTCCCCCGTGTAACAAAAGGAGAACAAGCTCGCAGCATGTGGACCGAGTGGTTTAATGCTTGGTGGGGTCTGTGTTTCAACAATGCCCTCCTGGGTGGTGGCAGTTTTTCTGCACACTGTCACGCTGCTGCTGACATCACTGAAGCGCGTGACTGTTGGTGCTGGAGCCGTATTCCTAGCAGGCTTCAGAGTCTGACGTCATTGCCTTCACCCTTTAATCTAAGTGACCTTCCACACCACCTTCTGGATGGAGCCAGCAGACTGAGCCGGGCATTCATGCCGCTTCCATCCCCAGACGCGGAGCAGAGACACGCGGTAAAGAAGCAGCAGTCGGCCTTGCACCCCCCCTTTCTGGGTGACGGGCGTGGGCGGGAGTTCTGTGCAAGGAGCCGAGCAGCAGAGCCAGCACCGGAACCAGTGGGGAACTGCAACCCAAAAGAAAGCAGCGTGCTTGGGGGAGTCCGGGATTCGGGGATGGAGGCCGCGGGGCAGGGGCGAGGACTCGGCTGAACGTAAGGAGACAAGTCGGGGGCTCGTACGACGTGGGTGACCATGATTGTCTCTGCACTTGCAGCTTGATGGGCTGTGTCACCTTCAGGGAGAATACCAGGGGGCTCCTGTCTCAGGTGGCATGACAAACGGGACAGTCAGAGCAGGTGTCTGACCTCGTTGCTTTAGCATGGCACTCAGCCTTCCTGGCTTGGGGGTTGACTCCCGCTTCCCACCCGCCCGTCCTAAACAGAAGCCCACCACGCGACACCTCCATGCTCCAATCTAGCCCCTCCGTTTGACCTCTCTGTGCGGCTCCTGCCCCCACGTGAGTGGTCAGCCAGAGATGATCCGCTATTTGAAGAAAACCAGAAGCGGGAATGAGAAAGACCAAGAAAAACAAACAGCAAAACTCACCCTGGCGGAAAATTGAGATAATTACAGAATTCTGCAGAATTATAGAATTCCACAGCCAAAGCATCAACCAAGCATGCAAGCAAAATAAAGTGATTTTGAGATGCAGGGGAACTCGGAAATGTTATTTTCCAGGCACCCATTCTGGATCTGTTACATGTGCTTGAACAGTACCAGGGCGAAGTCAAGACGGGCAAGGCAAAGGCTGCGGGCATTGGCGGAGCCAACCATGAGCCCAGGAAATGCCGAGAGGAGGGCTTTGCCGCCGACCTGCAGGCCGAAGTCCAATTTAAAAGAAGTAGTCAGGGGCGACCCTCCAATGGGACAGGGAGAATGAGGCAGTCACTGGAAGACAGCTGTTAAGTTGAAGAAAGCACTGCTTTCCTTCCCAGCCAGGAAAAAAAAAAAAAAGACCATCAAAATCTATATGAGAAAACCCCATTCAAATATGAGGGAACTAAACTGCACCATTGGCCAGGGAGTGGGGGTGCAGTTACTTCCAGGCTAAGGCACAGAGGAGAGAGACGCAGGACCCCCAGTGCAAACCAGAGTCTCCTACCCCCAGCTTTGCCCAGGGCCCAGCTGGATACAAGGTCATCATTTGTATGCCTTTCCTGAACACAGATTATGGAACTGTGTGAGATTGTGGCCACTCTGGGTAGTGTGTGGGAGGGGCTGTTCCCTACCAGTGACATCCGCCTCTGGTACCTCTAGAAGGGGCCGGGGTGTCTGGCCTCAGTGTGACTTCTAGGGGCACTTTAGCCTTCCTGGGCTCCCCTTTCTCTATAATAAATACCAAAGAATATATTTGACCAGCCCTGGCTGGTGTGGCTCAGTGGATTGAGCACAGGCTTGTAAAGCAAAGGGCTGCTGGTTCAACTCCCAGTCAGGGTATAAGCCTGGGTTGCAGGCCAGGTCCCCAGTAGGGGGTGCACAAGAGGCAAGCACAGGATAATGTTTTTCTCTCCTCCCCTTCCCCTTCCTCTAAAAATATATGAATAAAATCTTTTAAAAATAGATTTGACAATTATGTGGATATAATGACAAACATAATATTAATACAAGCTGGATTCTACTCAGTTTTTTCTGTTCTGGTTTTAAAACAGTTACATATTTTCTTGGGCCTCTGAAAGTGTCATGGGCCCCCGGCACCAGGCCTGCTGGGTCTCCTGGAGAAGCGGGCCCTGCAGGACACCCTCATTCAAAGCCCCTCTGAGTCGTAAACACACAATAACCCGGCTCTCTGGTCATGTAGAAAATTGGCTGTGACGGCATCATCGGATCAGCGGCCAAAGAGGACCGGTGCGGCGTCTGCAGTGGGGATGGCAAGACCTGCCGCGTGGTGAAGGGCGACTTCAGCCACTCTCGGGGGACAGGTGAGTGCGAGGCCCCGGGGGCTGCCTGCTGCAACCACAGGACAGCTGGCGCGTGTGGTGTGTGTTAGTTCCTGTGCCCCAAAGGCCGCAGAGTGTGTGCCTTCCCTGCACTTCTTGTTCAAGGGCTCGCTGGTCCCAGATAGGGCGACCCGGAACCTCAGTCTCATTTGATTTCTGAAAGTCAAAGAGGGACACTTTGTCCACAGTCATACAGGTGCTTTTGGGCGAATCTGTGCCGGCCCCACGGCTCCTGATGCCCCCTGTGGTGGTGCCGGAGCGGCCCCTGGGCACTGAGTCCCTTCACACTTTCATTATCGTGAATCATAGTTGAATAGACTTAAAAACTGAGCCTGCAGCCCCAGGAGCCACCGTGCAGGCACTCTGCGCCACCCGTGGCTAGTGGCTGCCACGTTGGCGAGCAGAGAGAACATTGCTGCCGTCGAGGAAAGTTCTGGACGACGCTGCTTTGGAACTCTGGTGATCTCAGCTGTTTGTTCTCACCCACCTGTTGCTCTTTTTCTACCTTTGGGCCCCAGCATGAGACTTTGACCTTGGCCTCTACAGCCGTGCCAGCAGGGACGGCTGTCAGCGAGGCTTACTGACGACCCAAAAAGTGCACTTTACAAAGGAGGCGCAGGAGCACTTTCTTTACGGTGCACAGGGTCTGAGCTCCGAGGCACGAAATGGGCTGCTGTGGCTCCCATGTGAGCAAAAAGCCTGCGTTTGACTGCTTCTTATCTTTCTGGGTGGTGTTTCTCTTCAGTATTCACCCTCCAGGGCGATAAGACACCCCCCCCTTTGGAGCCGGGCAGACATGGCAGTGGGTGCAGCCCATGCCCATGCCCGCTGCCCGGCCAGCCTGTGGCCCCACCTTTGCAAACCTTCGCCCCTTTGTTCCCTTATGTGAGAACCCAGGTGGGGCCTGAAGCATCGTCCATTCTTCCAGCATCTCATCCTTTTCCTGGTCTCCAGTCTTGGCACGGGCAGACCCGTCCCTTCCGGTCTCCTAGGGGTGGCCATCCCTGCCCTGGCTTATGGCCTTGCATGCTTTCTTCTGGCCTCTGGGCCACAGAAGCCTTAGCAAACCGTCAGAGAACCACAAGCCCACATTGGCCCCCTTCGCCTGTAAACATTCTGTCACCCTCGGAGGTTGCCAAGTGTCCCGCCTTCGTTTTAAAGTTGAAAGCTGTCACATTCCAAATCCTCATGTTTGGGGTGCGTGTAAGCTCGCACGTCAGAGGTGACTCTGTTTCCTGGAGGTGGGGGTGGAGTCCCCTCCTGGGAGTCGGCAGCCCGTCCTCCTGGGGAGGCGTTTTGGTGCACGTGTGCCGAGGTCGGCAAACGGTTGCCCGACCACGTTAGGAGGCTGAGCTAAACAGAATGAAAACTCGGCTTTCCCTAGGTTGGTCACAGTCCGGGGAGGGCACCTCCCCAGCAAACAGCCTGAGTCCATGTGTGAGGCAGAGGCAGCTCAGCGGGGGTGGCTGTGGGGCCCCAGATTGTGGGGGATACCTCGCCCAGGGCTGCAGGCTGGCTGCTGGTAGCCCCTGAGCCCTAACACACGGAGAGGAACTTTCCGTGGGGGTGCGGGCAGGACAGTTGAGGCTGAAGGAGAAGCCTGCTCAGAAATGGCATCAAGCCCCCTGGGGGTGTGACCTCTGGGTGACCCCAGGGGTGGCTGGATGGGTTGCGCCGCCTGTCAGCCCAGACAGGAAGGTCACTGTCATCTCTGCCCAGCCTCAAAGGGGGAGTGTCTTATCGCCCTGGAGGGTGAATATCAAAGAGAAACACCATCCCAGAAAGATAAGAAGCAATCAAAAGCAGGCTTTTTGTCCAGTTCTCTGAAATCCTGACCCTTGTCTGAACTCTTTGGGGTCCTCTTAACCTAAATACTTGAACCAAGAATCTGGAGCACACCCACAGGGGGCAGTGTCCACACCTCCAAGATGTCATCCTCTTGTGTCCTTGAGAAGTCCCCGGCCTGGCTGTCACACTGCCCAGCCTTTGGCTGAGTGGAAACAGCTTGGTGTTTTGAATTTAGTAATCTGGAAGTTCTTGGTATGGTGCTCTCATGTCATTCATTAAATTGTCGTTTTTCACATTATTATCTCTAGCACTAGAAAGGTGACCGGTGTCCACAGACACCCAGGACAGACCTGGATTGGGGCCCCCACCAGGGACCCACCCTGGTGACCCAAGGTTCTGCATCCTTTGCCCTTTGTTCTCAGAGAGAATCTTCTTAAACATTCTGTCCTTAGGAGGGACAGTGGGGCCCTGTCCCGTGTGAAAGCGGGCAGATCCCTCTGTCACGGATTTATTTTGGTTGCCTGTGGAGCCCCAGCACCGTGCCAGGTCTGCAGGTCCCCTGGGGAGACTGGCCACTGCGTGGCGATGACGTAAAATGATGTCACGGTGACTCACTTCATCGAACCGCGACGCCGGCCCCTGAAGTGTGCGTGTCAACCGATTGCACTGTTGTTTCTGTTCCTCAGTCAAGAACAACCTCTGCACCAAGGTGTCCACGTGTGTGATGGCAAAGGCTGTTCCCAAGTGCTTCTCGTGTAAGACGTGCGGGCGTCGCGTGTGGTCCCGGCGGTGGAGCGCTGGTGTGGGGCTCTCGCTTTGCTCTCGTGCTGACGGTGTCCTGGGCTGATCGGCGGGAGTGAGGCCGCATGTGAGCACAAGGGCCGTTGGTCTGCATAGAGTCGGCGTCGAAGACCGATTGCCTGAAAGAAAACTCTGGAATAAAACCATACTTAAATCTGTGAAAGATAAGGAGTCCCGGGTGGGAGGCCAGACAGAAACATGTCGCTACCCAGGGGCGTGTCCTTGTCCTCGGCCACACCTGGCCCTTTGCCAGAAGATGCCAGGACGCGCCAGGGAGTTCAGCTGCAGGTGGCACTTTCCTGCTTAGGGACGTTCCCATATTATGGGGCTGGATTTTCCAAAGGGCAGGGGCCACTTGGTAGCACCCTCCTGGTTTTCGTGCTGAAGCTCAAGGTCACGGCCTCGCTTTGGCCCATCTGCACCGACCTCACCGTCTAACAAGGTGGGCCGAAGCGTTCGCCCAGCCTCGTGGGCCTCCCGAGCAGTGAGTCCTCTCTCTAATTCAACGCAGACAGCATGTAGGGAGAACAAAGACAGTAATATGCTCACGAAGAACTTTTGTAAATGGGCAAAGATACAAACTTACACAAAAACCTCTCCGAATATGTTCTGAGTTAATTATGAACAAGAACTTTGATTATATATGTATGTGTATATGATTTTTATATGTATCTGTATACACATACACATGTATGTGTATATTTGACACAACCTGGGGGAAAATCCAGCCTCAGCTTGCATAGCCAGGGCTTTACCTGGACTCTGCTGTTACAGAGCCTTCACTAGCAAAATGATTTCCTTGCAAAGAGAAGGCTACTAAAGAGATGCCACCCCATACCATCTAAAAAGCAAGGCTATCTGGGAAATTCAAACGAAAATGCTTTCACAGGAAAATGTGCTCCTAGCTTGCTAGTGTCGGTATCTGGACGAGTGGATACCAGTTTAAGGTCAGCGTCAATTTGAAGTTTGTTCTAACTACTCGTCCTTAAGGCAAAAATGGCGTGTTCTGCCTGAGCAGTGGGGAAGGTAGTGGATTTACCCGCGCTTCCTGCTGAAACCAGACTGTCCCTCTAACTGGATTTCTCCTGCTGCATGGCAGAGACGAGAATGGAAGGTTATTCCAAAGATCAAGTCCCACTCCTGTACCCAAAACTTGACTGTATCTCATGAATTCTTGGTGTAAGTCTTCCCTTCAGTCATTGTTCATGCCCAGTCAACAGGGTGGTATCTGCTTTCTGCCCTGGGACATCTGGTCTGAGGGACCACAGGATGCTTTTGGGCTTGGTGACGGGGCTCTTTCCCTTGCTGGTTGCTCTTCACACCAGCCTTGGGGCGGCCTTGGGGCGCGGGAGAGAGGGCAGTGAGTTAGAGATGGGGACCGAGAACGTGCCATGCAGGTCAGGGGTTCCCTGCACATCGTGGTTGGAGACATTGACCTTAGCAAGAAAGGCTGGCGGAGCCCACGCACGTCAGTGACACCCCTGCCCCACTACTCCAAGGTCAGGTGAAGATGAGCCGAGCCGAGTTGGGTGTCTGCCCTGAGTTTTGCACTGCCCGTCGGCCGCTGCACCTGAGGGTGCGTGAGAAAGGAGAGAGGACCGGTGGCTCTTCAGTGCTGCCGGTTGTGCCAAAGCGAAGCTTAAAAATGGGAGTGGCGAGTGTGCATTGGCTGCGGAGGGACCTTGGTGAGGACCTAGGAAAATTAAGTATCTGGACCTTGGCGGTCGCGTCCCTCGGCTTGGATTCTGCAGCTGGTGATGCAAAATACACATGGGGACAGTTGCAGACGGGCCCAAGGGGCCGTGGCGGCAGGAAATGGCACCGGCGCAGGGTCCAGGCAGTCAGTGGTTGTGTCTGAGGGCTGGTCGCTGAGCCCCTGCCCTCCTCCACGGGGGTTCAGGGACGGTTCACACTCCGGTGAGCAGCGGAGGGGCTTCCCGAGGGTGAGTGTGTCCAGAGGCGCTGTCCATGAACCCCGCCCGCACTCCCCCAGAGCGGTTGTTCTGGCGGAGGTCCGGCTGTCTGGGTGTGCTGGGGCCTCGGTAACCAAGAACCGCGAACTGGGTAAACCACAGAGGCTGGCTCTCGGGTGGGACAGAGGTCTAGGTCTCGGCAGGGCTGGTGCCTTTGGAAGGTCTGCCCCAGGCCTGTCTCCCAGCTCCCGGTGCTTCGCTGGCCGCCTGTGGTGCTCCTTGGCTTGGAGATGCGCCCTCCCAACCTCAGCTTCACATTTCTGCGTTGTTCTTGCCTGTGTATTGTCTGTGTCCGGGGCCCCTTACTTATAAGGATGACCGTCATATTGGATGAGAGGCCCAGCCTACTCCAATATGACTGAGACTGATCATATCTGCAGTAACCTTATTTCCAAATAAGGTCACATTCTGAGTACAGGGGAGTTAGGACTTCAACAGATGAATTGGGGGGGCAGATACGGTTCAATCCCTAGGTCATCCAGACGGTGCTCTCTGGAATTTCAGCAGCCAGGAGATTCTGTCGTACAGGAACGCTCCTGTGAGATGACCCTTGTCATGGCTGTGCCAGCGTGCAGGCTCTGAAGTCACAACAGGGGCAGCGGGAGGGCTCAACCTGGGCGGGCGATGGGGCCGGTGCGGCTCACCTGCATTTTTTGTTACTACAGGTTACATCGAAGCGGCCATCATTCCCGCCGGTGCGCGGAGGATCCGCGTGGTGGAGGACAAACCGGCCCACAGCTTTCTGGGTAACGCAAACACGACCTGACTCCTCGTGCTCGTCCTGAGAGTGGACGTGCACAGTCGGGCTGGTCATCTGGTTCAGCCTCGTCCCCCGGCCGGCCATTGTCTGAGACTCATTGTAAGGGGGAAGACAGGAGGGATCAGAGCCGGCCAGCCGGTGCGGTCACATGGGGATAAGGTGTAGTCACCCTGGAGATGGGGGAGCGTGACGGGGGCGGGGTCAGTAGGAACCAGCAGCCTTGGACAGGGAGAAGCTGTGGGGACCTGCAGCCGCAGGCACCCCCAAAGCAGCACCTGGAGAGCTCAGAGCAGGCGGGGCCCGGTCAGCCCGGGGCATCTCCCAACCCGCCGGGGGCACCCGGAGGCCGTCCATGGCTCTGGGGATGACTCCTCAATCTAATGGAAGCCAGAGAACCCAGATTTCCACTAAGTGCTGTGTCCCCCAGATTCCCGAGGGTCAACTCCATTAACCTCTGGCCCTGAGGTCTTTCTGTAGAAGAATTGGCTTCCATTCTAGAACCACACCTACAGCCTCAGGAGAATTGTTCATTTGACCCCTTCTCAGCCACAGTGACCCTCCGAGTGCGTCCTAAGGTCAACTCCCAGCCTGCCCATTAGCCCTGGAAAGGGTTTCCCTGGCACGTAAGCACTGCGAGAGCCGGGTTGGCACTGCCCCTGTGGGTGCCCGGGGACCACCTCTGCCCTTCACTCACCGGGAAAGGACATGCTGTGACCCGTGTCCTCCGGGCAGCCTTGCCGCCGCCCCCCCCCCCCATGTTCTTGTCTTGGGTTGGATTTGAGACTGGCGGTGGCTGGCAGCCTGCCCAGGTAACCCTCTCTTGAGCTTCCTCGTATTGTAACCTCTCAGTCTTTGCTTCAGGGTGCTCTTTGAGGTTTTTTAAAATGGGTGAGACATGACCTCTTTCTGGCTTCAGACTAAAGAGAGAAGTTATTTTGGCCAAAATGGAGTGACTCACAAAATGCATTTATCGCTGAATTTTATTTATTTATTTATTTTTGTAAATGAAGTGTTTTGTTTATATATTTTTAGAGGGGAAGGGAGGGAGAAAGAGAGGGAGAGATACATCAGTGTGTGGTTGCCTCTCGTGCGCCTCCTACTGGGACCTGTCTTGCAACCCAGGCATGTGCCCTGTGACTGGGAATCGAACCAGCGGCCCTTTGATTCGCAGCTGACAGACAATCCACTGAGCCACATCGGCCAGGGACTTATCACTGATTTTTTAAAAAACTATCTTTGTCGGCATTCCTGCCTCCCTCGACTACACACAATGATCCGAGTCATTCTCTGAAACGGTGTCTGCTTGAGAAACCCTTGGTCTGATGGGACAGACACAGATCCTCTGCTAGGCACGTCTACAGTGAGGACCACCGTCCCACTGTGTAACAGCCAGGCGCCGCTTGCAGACACTCAGATAATCACCCTCACACACCTGCCCTGAGAAAAGGCAGGAATGGGGACGGGAGCTCCTGTTTGCAGGTGGCCACCCGGGGCTCACCAGCAAACAGTCCCCCGAGCATCCCCACAGGGCCCCAGGCAGCCCGGGCCCCGCTGCTGCCACCATCGCAGTTGCCACCTCCCGGAGGCTATGGGTCCGTGCTGGTGTCCATCAGCCCCATGGCTTTGCCCGCCTCCCTGGTGTGGACTTCGTCCCCGTCCAGCCTTGGTCCTTGGCAGCTGTCCCAGCTGTCACTGTGCAGATGAGACAGTGCCTGTAGGTGCTTTCTAAAGGGAGTGGTGGCCCCTGTGCTGACTTCTCAGAGAGCCACCCCTGTCCTCTGCCCACCTGAGGAATTCAGTCCACTTCACCAGCATTGGTGTCGGAAGCCCCGTCCCCTAGGGTTGCCCCCAAATTTTGCTTTTTCAACTGCTTCATTGGCCCTCCCCAACCTGCAAATGATGGGTCTGCTTCCCGGAGACCATGGGCCTCCAAGGGAGGCTGTTACCACCTCTGACCCTCATCTGATTGAAAAAAAATCACAATGCCAGTATCCCAAGAGCTGCTGGCCCAGTTCCCAGGTTGGCTCACTGCTTCTTCCATAAAACAGGTGCCCCTGCAAGCTAGTCCCTTGGCTTCCGGCCCTGGCTTCTGAGACTTCCCAGCACATTCCTCACCTGACCCCAGCCCCAGGTGTCTGGTAAAATGGGAACATCATCCCCATTTCTCTGGGGCAGCGTAAAAAAGACAGAAGGATGTCAGAGTCCTTTCGATAGCTCGACTTATAATTCTGACAGGAAATGAGCTTTTCAACGGGAACCTGTGTTAGGGCCAATGAGGACAGGAGTGTGGCAGCTGCCCAGGGGAGCTGTGTCCCGGCTGGTCCCTCTCAGCTCCTGAAGCCCGAGGGCCCCGCACGCACTGCCCTGCCTGCTCTGCTTTGCACACCCGGCCCCAGTGCCCCCGAATGGCCACCTTAGCCTGTTTTCCCAAGGAGAAAACCGTGACTCCAGGGCATCAGCAGCCCGTCCAAGCTCCTCATTTCGTCTGGGTCTGCTGGAATTCATGGAACCTCCCGGAATCACCATGACATGCTCAGTCATAGCCAGAGATGGACAGATAGGGACAGCCTTTCATCTGAGAACACATATTAAAATCTGCCCGTTGCTACTACTTTCTGTTTGGACTTTAGAGGAGCAAGCCTCCAACCCGAGGAGATCAGTGCGATCAATTCCTCAGGACAACCTCTCAGCTTTCGAGAAGCATGGGACCTCCCTGGGGGCTTGGAGCTTGCCTGGGTCCCCTTATCTTACCCGCCAGTCATAGTCCCAGAATTCCAGGGCCTGGCGCGCACACCAGGGCAAGCCCGGAGGTGGTCCATGCTCCTTACGTGTCTCAGGTTAGCTCCAACCAGCCTCGTTTCCACTCGGGGCCGGGCGCTCTGGAAGGCCAGCCCGTGCAGCTCTGAGTTACTCTCACATTTGCTGCGAGCAGTTGCTGAAGAATTTCACCCCACCTACCTCCAGCCCACGCCGCCTGGCGCTCTGCTCGAAACCACCTGGAACAGGAAATGCCTCTGCAGTTTGCCTGCACAGCTCAGAACAGAGCTGGCCGGGCTCCGAGTGGAAATGAAAGGAGCTGACTCCGTGCCAGGACCAGAAGTGGGTTGACGGTGGGTCAGATCTTCCAGCGGAATCCAAGAGGGAGAGGGACAAAAAGAGCCCACTTCTGCGCAGCACCACGCAGGGGGAGGCTCTGCGGACCGGTCAGGCCTCCTGCACAGGCCTCTGGCCAGCTGTTCCGAGGAGCCCTGCACCCCCATCGTGCGTCCCCCCTCCCTCGCTCCCCAAAATGGCTCACCATCCTCCCCTACCGTGCCTGGAAGTCCAGGGACAACGTGTAATAAATACTCAGAGGGAGAAAGAAGAGCCCGGGTTGGAAACTTGGTCAGGTGCCCTCAGGTTCCGGCCCACTGAGGTTTCATCTGCCGTAGGAACTGGGGATGGCAGGGACCCACCCTGGTCCCTGGGGCAGTCTTGCTTGCTGTTGAGAGCTTTCTCCTGGCTTCTTGGCAAACTGCACAAAAGCAAAAGCAAGCATGGTTATGTTTCAGATGGCGGCCAGAAACACCCAACCCCCGACCCCAGGCAGAGCCGGAGGTGAAGTTCTCCTCCCCAGCTAGTCAGAATCCCAGATGTCACAGACAGAATCAAGTCCTTCCGGAATCCCTTCCCCTCTGAATTCCATGGTCAGCCTGTTCCATCAGAGCATCAGTAACTCTCTTCCTAGCCCCAGTTGGGTATCTAGATCTAAAATTTGTAATTTCACATGCAAACTGATCTCAAAATGCATGCAGACATAGGGAATACCCATTGGTGCCTGGATCGAGAGGAGCAGCACCTTGTGCAGCCCAAACTTACTTCATTTGGGGGCATTCGTTAAGAAAACCACATCGTGGACAGGGCCTTGGAAAGGACTCATGCCCGAGATGGGCCCTGGAGCCCATTCTTCACTGGCACTCTCACCTGGGGTGAGGCCGCCCGAAGGAGCAGGAGGTGATGCGCGTGCTCCCCATGTGGGCTCCACAGAGCAGTCTCTCCCTGGACTTCCTCCTGAACCTTTGTGCTCCCTGCTACACATGGTCTTCCTGTATCCACAGAATCTGTAAGGCTGGAGCCTTGCCCTTTTGAAGGAACGTCAGGCACAAATTCCAGTTTTAGCGGGGAGTTCCGATTTCTCGGCATGGATCACAGCAACCTGCGGAGTTTGAGTCTTGCTAACTGAATACTCACACCGAAGACATCGGCTTGAAGCAGTCTGCATGCTTCTTCGAGCTGCTGAGCTCTGATTTTTAACTGACGCTGGGGGTTTCCGCCCCTGCCAAGTGTATGAAGGATTGTCATGGAGACGAAACTCTCCTGAGAAAGGGGTGCTTGCTCTCAGATGAGGGGTCGCTGAAAAGCTGCGTCTGCAGAACCTGGAAGTTGGAGCCTCTGTGGAGGCGGCCGGAAGCAGGGCCCGGACGTGGGAAGTTCATTCGTTCTGAGGCTGTGAGAGGTCCCCCCGCAGCACAAGCCTCCGCCCCCCCCCCCATAGCTGCGAGAGTGGCGAGGTTTCACCAGCTCGGCAGCCCCAGACCAGGGCCTCAAAGGAAAGCCAGGCGCCATCAGAGCTCGCAGGGACGTTGGGACAGCCCGATTCTTTTGCTCGTGGCCCATCAGCGTGAGACTGATTCTGTGTCTTCCAGCACGTTTTGCCCAGAGCAGAGTAAGCAGGCAAAGTGCACGGCTGAGGCCCACGGAGCTGACTAGACGTTTATATACCTTACAGAGGGGTCACCCTGATAAGTCTAGTACCCACCTGGCACACGGTTACTGCAATAGTATTGACTGTGTTTCCTGTGCGGTACTTCACATCCCCATGACTGTTCGTATGAATGGCCATTTGTACTACTCAAGAATAATGCGTATTTCTTGAAGGAACGTCCACTATATTAATGTAGGGGTATTGAATCCTTTGATGTTGGAGTTAGGCCACCCTCCTTCAGTAGAAGCCCTGGGGACGTAACTGTAAAATGGATCCATGAGTTCTGCTTAAGTAGAGAAATGTGTTTTGTAGCCTCGGACCCATTAAAATAAAATTTGCCTATCAGGCCCTGGCTGGTGTAGCTCAGTGGATTGAGCGTGGGCCTGCGAACCAGATGATCGAGGTTCGATTCCCAGTCAGCACACATGCCTGGGTTGCAGGCCAGTTCCCAGCGGGGGACACATGAAAGGCAACCATACATCAATATTTCTCTCCCTCTCTCCTTCCCCTCTAAAAATAATAAGATCTTTTAAAAAATTTGCCCGTCAGGCAGAGAACTCTGCAAGTTCAGTGAAATGGGACTGGACCAGGCTGCCCTTCCCTGGGCCCTCAGCGTGAGTCGAAGCTGAAACAGGCAGCCCACCCGAGACGGGTTCACAGCAGCTGTCCCTGGGTCCTGTGGGTCGTAGGGCGTCTGCTCCCCGTGAGTGAGGCTTCTGCTCTCAGGACACAGGAAGCGCGCCTTCTCCTGCTTCCTGACCCCGCAGGCGGCGAGGCCTCTGCCCGCCACTCCGCGCACCCAGATTCCCTGCAAGGACAGGCGGGCCCTCCTGATGCCCCCGTGTTGCGTCTCGTCCCCAGCTCTTAAGGACTCCAGTAAGAGGTCCATCAACAGCGACTGGAAGATAGAGCTGCCCGGCGAGTTCCAGATCGCAGGCACCACTGTGCGCTATGTTCGAAGGGGCCTGTGGGAGAAAATATCTGCCAAGGGACCGACCAAGATACCACTGCACCTCATGGTAATTTGCTGTGCTTTTGTGTTTGTCTTGAGACAGAGGCTTTGAGGGGCCCCCCCACCCCCACCATTGACTTCTTCCCCGGGGCCTTGGGTGGCAGGAAGAAGCACCTGGTTTCTAGGGATGTAATCGGCCACCTGCAGCTCAAGCTTCTCTCTGGAGCTTCCCTTCTCTCATCCCTTTGCGGCATGCTGCAGACCTCTCCCCTCTCCAGAGCCTGCCCCGACTCCTCACTGGCAGAGCTCCAGTCTGCTTTCCAAAGCAGGGAGGACCCACTGGGGTGTGCAGCAGCCAGGGACACTTGGCGGCGTGAAGGAAAGGCACCTGCTCAGAGTCTGTGGTTTTGTATCAGGTGGCGCAGATCTGCCCCCATGGCTTGTCTGTCCACCTTGGAAATTACCATTCAGAAATGAGCTGGTGACTCCATTTCTTTCCAAACCAACATCACTCAGCTTTTCCAAACTTAGCTTGCGGCAAGCATTTCCGAGACTGGGAGGGAGAGCGGGCTTTACAGGAATAGTGACTCCCCGGGTGGCCTCCAAAAACCTGTGGGGTCAGGTGAGACCAGAGCGCCCTGACTGTCAGGGAGGACCTCGTGCAGACTGAGGAAACATGCGCTTGTGCATCACTGTGAGGATACAGAGCATCGCTAGGGGCGACGGGGCCTGGGAGTCCTCCCAGCTGACCTCTGATAGCTCGCTGAGATGGACCCCGGGCCTCCCTCCAAAGAACGGGCTTCATGGCAGCTTGTGCTTCTCTGATCAAAGTACAGTCTATCCTCAGTCTCTGCTTGGAAGTCCTTCCCCACATTGATTTGTGGCCCCTGACAACCTGCAGCCATTGGAGGTTATGCAACACCCAGAGGAGTCCCTGGCCACCTCCCAGGGAATCTCCTGGGGGGACAGCTCTGCTGTGAGCCCTGGCACCCAATGCAATGTCACCCATGGTGGGCAAAAAGCAGGCCGGCTTCCGTGCACAACGTAAACTGCCTGGAAGTCGGTCACTGCAAACCCCCAGCCCGCTGAATCTGCAGGTATAGCCTTGTAAGGTGGTTTCCAGGGCCCAGGGCCCGGGGCCCAATATCCAAGCCACTTCTCTGTGATACGATTGTTCCCTAGTCTGTCATTAGCAGTCATGTGCAGAGGGGCTGCAGGAGGAAGCAAAGGACAGGATGAGACACTAAAACGTCACCTGTGAGCCCCTGCATTTGCTTTCTCCAGCAGACGCCAAGATGGGTCTGTTTCCTGTCTTTTCTAAAAGCCTTCCTGCACCGACTGAACTGTCAGCCGGCTCTCCCCAGCCCAGGTCCCTGCCCTCTTTAGTGCAGATTGCTGCTCTGTCGTGAAATATGATTGTTACGTGCAGTTTTGAAACCTAGACCTGAGAGGGGCCCCTCTGGCGGCACATGGAAGTCATTGTCCCCAAACCCGGATGCACGCGGCGCTCTGCAGGGTCCAGAGCGCTGGTGGAGCCGCGGGGACCCACCTTTGAAACCAGCCATGTGCAGGCACACAGATTGTACATGGCTGCAAAATTGCACAAAATGGGTTTCATATGGATTCTCCATTCACCAGTCTTATTCCCATACTGAGATAATAAAGATCTCTTTTAAAGGGTTTTCTTAAAAAAAAAAAAACTGGAGGCATATTTCCAAATGTGTTATTGCAAGTCTATTTCTCGGAGAAGTGGATGTTTATGCACTTTGGGCGGCTCTTAGCACCCCACCCCCCGGCCCCGCGCTCGAGCCCCTGGAGGGCTGCAGGACCCTCGGGAGGGAAGATGGCTCCCGCCTGTGGCACTTCCCACCAGCCTTCCCCATGTCAAGTCAGGTGTGCCCTGCACATCTGCTGTTAGCTCCTGCCGAGCCTCCTGGTCAGGAAGTGGACTTGCCAGCTGCTTAGGTGCAGGAGGACCCGCCGGACCCAAGCCAAGCCTGAGGACCCATCCCCCACAGCCAGGCTCTCACACGAGCCTTGCTCTGCATCATTCATTTGTACCATTGGCGTGCAGATCAAGCCAGGAGAGCACCTCCGTCCTTTTACAGCTTGTCGCATGCATCACCAGGCAAAGAGCGGGCTCGTCCCTCTGCTCACTCACCAGGATCTCAGACCGCGTCATCCCCACGCTGCAGGACAGCGGCTCCCCACCTCACATCCCCAGCTTTACGCCCCGAGCCAGGCCTCTGCACGCTGCGGGCTCTTCATCCTCCTCACTCCCTCACAGTGGGGAAGGCTGCTGCATCCTTGGACTCCCCAAGAGACGCCCCCAGAGTTCCCCTGTGGTGGGCTGTGTTTGCCCTCGAGCCTGCCTTACACACAGCAGTGACATTCATTTTCAAAGATGTGGAGCAACCCCACTCGCTCAGATGCCTTTTTAGGTAAAAGCAGTCTGTTCCTGTCTTTCTTGCTGGCAGGGGCGCAGCTCCATGAGGGAGTTTGTGGGAACGGGGACTTTTCTCCCCGTGTAGCGTACGGTTGGTTACACAGACTTGCTCATCCCCGAATTCCTCTTCCGCATCGGTCCTCTGTCCAGTGGGAGAGCGCAGAACTCTGCTGACGGTTTACAAGTAGGCCCCCTGAGGCAGGGCCTGTTTTGAAATGCCCCCTGGCAGGGAGACAGCGCGGCGTGGCTCCCCGTGCATATTCAGCAGCCCAGGGCTCTTGCAGGATTTCATAGTGGCCTTTTCTTTCGCTGCCCATCCAGGTGTTGTTGTTCCACGATCAGAACTACGGCATTCATTACGAATACACCATTCCCGTCAACGGCAGTGCTGAGAACCAGAGTGAGCCGGAGAAACCGCAGGACTCTCTGTTCATCTGGACGCACAGCGGCTGGGAGGGCTGCAGTGTTCAGTGTGGAGGAGGTGAGCGCTGGGATCGCGGGGTCGCAGCTGTGGGGCTGTGCTGGAGGAAGGAGACGTGAGTTCGGGGCACTCTGTGGCCAGTGCTGGGAGCATGGGACAGGCTGGCCACCTGACAGTGTTCCCACGGGTACTGAGCCACGTCCTGCTGCAGGTCTCTGTGCAGAACGCTTGGACAGAGTGGGGGAGCTGCCCCCTTGTGGCTGCTCTGCCCGCGGCACAGGGCCCTCCCAACCTGATCTATGAGTTAGGGTCTGGCTGATGTCCAGCTATGTCCCAGGTATGTATGACAAGTGACCCCATTGCCACTTGGTGGAGGGGCACCTGAAAATGCTTGTGCTCCCAGATACGCTTTGCCAGTGACCCCACTCCAGGGTGCAGGGGAAAGCAAAAGGCCTGCAAGTCCAGGGACCCATTCAGGGCTGAGTCCTGGCTTCACCACTTGCTGCCATATTTTAGCTTCCCTTTCTTCTAGCTGCACTTCCTGGGTGGTCAACCCCCTGCTGCCCCTCAGTACAATGTCCTTTGTCACTCTGATGCATGGGACACACAGTGGGGTCCTGGGAGGTGGGGCACAGATCGTGATGGACACAGAGTTCGGAAAGAAGGTTGGTCTGGACCCTGGAATGCACCCCAGCGAGTGGAAAGGCAAGGTGGACACTGGAAGTGGCCCACCCATACCCAACACCTAGGATGATGACATCAGCCCCATTTTTTAAAAAATCCTGCCCAAGGACACTTTTTCATTGCTTTTTAGAGAGCGAGGAAGGGAGAGAGAGAGAAACATCGATCAGTAGACCTTAAACATCAAGTGAACAGATAAAGAGATTGGCAGTGGTTGGTAAAAACCCAAGACTGAGATCAGAACCTGGTCCTCCATGAGTGCCTAGCCATCCAAAGACACAGCCGGTCCAAGGGCTTGCCTCTTCCATACCCTATTCTAGAACTTTTCTCCTGCCCCACAATGCCCTTACCACATCTCACAGGTCCTCATCACGAAGACTAGAGCTCTCCCTCCCTGGCAGCGGTCAGCTACGTGACTGACTGGTCAAAACATGCGCGGGAATGCTCCCGGGTGAGCGTGGGCCAGCGCCCTTTCAAGGCGCCTGCAGCTGCAGCCTCTCAGTCTCCTGGGGTTTGGTTTCCAGGGGAACGCAGGACCATCGTGTCCTGCACTCGGATTGTGAACAAGACCACAACTCTGGTGAACGACAGCGACTGCCCTCCGGCCAGCCGACCAGAGCCCCAGGTCCGCAGGTGCAACTCACACCCGTGCCAGTCCCGGTAAGGAGCTGGGCTGTCACACGGGACCCTCCAGAGTGGGGGCAGTGACGCCTGTATGTGGGGGGAGGGACGGACACACGGTCACCACCACAGCACCGCTCGGGGCCACGTGCCCTTGTTGTTGCCCGTGTTCAATGTGAGTTTGAGAGAGTGCGTGTGAGCCAGTGCATGCCGGTTACTGCGTGTGCTCGGCCTGTTTCAGTAGCCGAAGTGGAAGCAGTGAGCGCAGACCTTGGGTTTTGTGGTTCGGGATCCATCAGGCCCCCTGTTCCCAGTGCCAGCGTTGGGCCCTGGGATGCACCTGCCCGGGAGTGAGTTCTCTCGGGGCGTCCGCAGAGAGGGGTTGTGTGAAACACGGCCGCCAGGGGGAGCCCTCCTTTCTGGTCAGACGGCAGCTGGACTTTGCCTGGAGCTCTGCCTCCGTCTTGGTCTGTGATGTCACCCTGGACTCCTGCTCAGTTCTGGGTTGAGGTGCTTGGTTTTGGCTTTGTGCTTCTGTGGATCAGGTAGAGGTATGTTTGCCTTTCGGAAAGAGGCTGGCCTTTTGACATGACAGTTCTGGTTCTTTTTTGTTTGTTTTGCTCAACTCGCGCCTGCTACCAGAGTTTCACAAAGCATTTGGTTTTTGCACCAACGCCCTGTGCTTTGTCAAACTTGTAAAGTGGGCGTGAAGGGGAAAGGCGGCAAGGAGAGCTAGAAGGTGCGGTTCGTTCTGAAGATTTGACGTGTCCCTCAGCAAAGAATGGAATTCTACCCGAACGCTGAAGGGCACGAGGAACGGCTCATTTTTGGAAGGTCTCCCTGGGCATCTCGGGTGTGACAGCTGTCCCACAGCGATCAGTCAGTCAGTCACTCAGTCACAGAGGACTTGCCGCTGTGAAGGCTGAAAGATCCGACAAGCCACCGTCCCTTCTCTTGGAAGCAGAGACAGTTTGGCTCCCAGACACGGTGGGAACGTAGGGTGAGGGACTCTGGGCAAGGGGAGGTCAGCCTGGGTCCAAGGGCGTGGCCGAGCGCGAAGGATCCCGGGACTGATTCCAGAATCGTGGTTTAGCCCTGGCTGGTGTGGCTCAGTGGGTTGGGCCTTGCCCTGAAAAGCCAAAAGGTCATAGGTGTGATTCCAGGTCAGGGCACATGCCTGGGTTGTGGTTTCAGCCCAACAGCAGATTGGAGATGAAAAAAAAAACATCTGTGAACTTGAAGACTGGAGAATAGAAATTACCCACTCTGGAAAATGGAAGGAAAAGATTATTGACAATGACAGAGGCTCAGTGACCACCCGTGGGTCACTGTCAACCATTCTAACATAAGTGTCATTGGAATCACAGAAGAAGAGAAGGAAGGCGCAACAGAAAATGATTATTGAAGAAACGATGACCCAGAGTGTCCCAGATTTAATGAACAATGGGAGAGAGGCCGTCAGGCCGCCTGTGGGGTATTTCCGCCGGAGTCCGGATGAATTCAGAGCTCCGCCACAAGGCCCTCTGACTGTTCACCAAGCGGCCCAGTGTGGCACCTTTATGATTTTGCCACCCACACATCTTCCAGGAGGGGACTTTGTGGCACTAGCAGACTAACCAGAAAACCACGTAGAAAACACCTACAGGAGAAGCCAGCTGCGTCGGCCCGAGGCAGCAGAGGTGTGTACTGAGTAAGCCGGTGCCGCGGGGCCGCTCCAAGGCTGGATGAGGTGTGCATGTGTGGGGCCGGCAGACCCCAGACTCGCCGCCACACTGCCTTTGCTCACAAGTTCAAGCCAAGCACACTTCAGACTACAAGTGACTTCAGAAGCACATTCTTTGGATCTCCTTAGAACGAGGCCCGGCAAACTTTATGAAGGGCTAGACAGTACGTCTTTTTGGCTTAGCAGGCCACACATGGTCTCTGATATCCGCTGTTCTTTGTTCTTTCTTATAACCCGTTTAAAAAGTGTGAAAGCCATCCTTAGTCTCGGGTCTGCCCCAAAACAACCTCCAGGCTCGGCTTGGCCTTGGAGTGATGGTTTTGGGTTATTACTTGCTCTCCTCCTGCCCACTGGGACATTGAGACCGCAGCTCTGAAGGTACTTCCTCCCTGGACGTGTCCTCTCATTGTACATGTTGTTACCCGGAGGCACCGTTTTTGGCCCAGGTAGCCAGCACTGGTTTACACAGCACCCAGCCCAGCCCCAAGCACCCAGTCCGGCATCGGCAGTCTCAGTCACTGCACTCGTGTGTGCTGAGCACCTCGCCCGGGCCCTGTTCACCGTACCCAGGTAATCAGGGCTGAGAAAGACAAGGCCTCCCGTCCCACGTCAATACTCGGTTTCTCCCTCCCCACCACACTCTTTTGTGCCCCGCTGCTTTCCCGACCCCATAAAATCATGCCGATCATCCGGACAGAATGGGCGGAATTGGGCAAAGCAGAGGAGACAATAAATTTGATAGAAGAGGAGACAGTGCCTGACATTGGCGCCAGAGTCTGGAGGAGAAACGCCAGTGTTCCTGCTCCAGGCTGCTTTGCTTTGTTGGTTTCTGCATTTCCAACCCTCCGACTTGCTCCTGGTTCTCTTTCTCCTTGGCTTTAATTTTTACATACTTTTTAGATTTTTTTTATTACAGTCAACGTTCACTATTGCTTTTGTTGTAGGCTCTCAGCACAGTGGCTAGACTTTCACATAAGTCACAAAGGGATCCCCCGAAGGGACACAGGAGAATGAAGGCCCATCGAGGAGCAGTTACTGTGTGGCCGAGGGAATGTGCGAAATGACTTCACAGGGTTTACAGGCACCACTTATATCTGCTCACACACTCACACACGTGTGTGTGCACAGTATACAGACCCCGATGGAGCCAGCTTGACCCAAGAAGCCCACCTGTGCGTCCCGTGGCATCTGGCAGAGTGAAGGGGCCTGTCTGTGTGATTGTGACCCTCTGACCTTGAAAACGAGAGGCAGTCACCTCTGTGCCGACGTTTTCCCTTATTTCCCCTGCTCTCCCTTTCATTTGCTTCGGCCCCCTTCGCCCATCCAGTTCCCGAAGTTCCCCCACGCCCTCCCCGATTGCACGTGCACCGCTTCATTCTCATCCTGCCCCCGGCCCCACGGAGACGTCTCCCGAGCCCTGCCTTGACTGTATGGAACCTGGACTCCGACACACACAGAGCAGGTGGCCCGGCTCCAGCACCCCACACACCAACACAAACACGTCGGCAAACCTGGCCCCGACGTTGGCAGGAGAGGCAGGAATCACAGGTCGGCTCCGCTGTTGTGACCGGGGCCAGCAGCCCTCACCTTGCTGACCACAGTCTGCAAAGAAGAGCCCCCCCCCACCCCATCATCCAACATTGAAAGAGTAACCCTGTGCGCCAGCCCCCTAAGGCCCAGTCCTGGGCAGTCCTGGCGCGAGGCGCTGGTGAGTGACAGCCACGTGGGCTCAGGCTGGAACACGGAGCGCGGCCTCAGCAGAGTCAATGCCTCTGCAGTCTTTTAGAGCTCATTGGCCACTTGGAAAGTTAATTCCAAGCTATTAGATGTTTCCCTGTAGCATTTATGGTTTGAACGTCTTCCAGGAAGTACACACTGTACTGTAGATTGAATTAGGGTGATTCAGAAAAGAATATTAAATGTCGTCCTGGCAATGGCGCTGAATCGTCATCTGTAAGGAAGTGTATTTGGATTTCAAATTTGTCCTCTTTGCTCAAATATCTTAACCAGGTTTGCCTTGTTTGGGGTTGACATTGAATGGAATCCCGTATGTTTTTATGAAAGTGTGTGTGTGTGTGAGAGAGAGAGAGAGAGAGCGATTGGGACTTAAGAATGAACCCTACACTGTGTTGCTCTTTACCAGAATCTGAAAAGGTGTTATTTAATCCATCTCTGGGCAGTCTGAAACTTCAGGCTTTTCTTTCCCGCCCTCCTGTAAAATAGAATGGGGAAAGTTCATTGTGAGTCCTCCGTCTACCAAGCCCTGGATGCGGGAGGTCGTAGGAGGCTGCCCTTGGCCTCCCACCTCCCTACATCATTCAGAACAGGAGCCTGGGACTCAGGACCACTCCTGGTGGGAAGGGCAAAGCCAGGGGCTGTCCATCCCCACGGGCCAACAGCGACCGCCCAGCCCTCAGAATGGCTCCCTCTCTCAGGCTTGGCCTCTCTCCAGACATGTAGGCACTCGGCCACAAGTCTGGGATCTGGGCCACCCCACAAGCCATGCAAAATGCAGAGAGAGTGCCCGAGGAAAGCATAGCGGGTAGCAGCCTTGGTCTATTACATACCTACCTCACTGATGGTATGTGATGGCGAGGAGAAATTTAGTCAAATCCCAGAATTTTTTCTGACATGACCCAAATCCCAGAACCTCCCTAGTATTTAAGCAGTAAAGTTTTGAAGCCTTTACTTACTGGTCTAAGTTAGGGAACATTCTAGACAGAGAAAGAAAGAGCGTTTCAGAGTGGCCTTGAATTTTAAAGCTCTGTTTCCTTCTTTTCCTCCCTGCTGAGCGGTTTGAGTAGGTGAACACCTCTCCCTTTGGCCATAAGAGAGCACGAGAAAATCTCCAGGTACCACTTTCCACGGGCAACGTTTTTCACAGGTTAGCAGAGTTCTCCTGTTGAGAAGTGCTTTCGTGGAGACCCTGAGGCCAGTTAAGAGGTCCCACTGTCTTCGGGAATTTTCTCAGTAATAAAATATAGACCACAGGGCGCCCTTGATGTTTGCATGTGGTTTTTCTGTCACCCTCACAGGAAAAGACACGTAAACGGAAAGGTCGAAACTTGGGCCAAGGAACGAAAGCAGAAACAAGCACAATCACAGTGGTCTGTCAGGAATGTGCTCTCTTGGCCCTGAGGTGGGGGGGGGGCACCAAATGTGGAAGGAAGGGCTGTGCAGGGCGGGCGGACAGTGAAGGACTCCTACCTTGTAGAAGTTCTAGGGGTATTTCAGAAGTGAGCGTGGGATGCGCTTGACGGAAGGAAGCCTCCCAAAATAGTCGCTGCCCCGGGAGGCTGGTGAAGTCCAGCGCTGG